TGTGCTGCACAACTCTAACCTAGGAATGCTCGTTGTGTGAGTTGGTACCATCTTTTACCATCCGAACAGAAGAGAGACGCTTACGACTCCATCACTGTTGAATTCGCGAAGGTACACGGCAGCTGCGATGGCTTCCATTCTTGAGTCAGAAAATGTGTGTATCTCTCTCCTTATGATAGTGCTGAATCCTTAAGGAGAGTGGCAACGAGGAATCAATACTTTTCCAGCTTGGGCATCGTCTCTCCATCAACTCCAGCAGTGTTTCATGTTCTTTGGAAGTGGATCGTCCCAACCAAGAGGATCATTGCCGTTCACCTTCTTCTGCATGATAACGAGTTGCTGTAGTATTAGTTTCCTTTCCAGGATGACTGGGGATACGAGTCCCAGAGGGTTGTACACCGAGTTTATTATAGAGAGAACTCCTCTTCATGTGAAGGGCTTTACTGGCAGCGAGACATAGAGGGTGAAATAGTCCTTCTTGATGTTCTAGTGGACCCCAAGGGAGCGTTGCGATGGTAGTAGGTCTAGATCTTTGATGTTCTTTGGGCGATCTTCTCCTGTTTTCTTCATGGGGCATCTACATAAAAGTTTCTGTGAACGAAGTCTCTTGTTTTTTTTTTCCAGTATTTCTCCTCACCGTCGTCTGCCATTTTTCGTAGCCCAAAGGTCGCTATAGCAGGACTGGGCCCTTTGCTGAACAGGTGCACTGTCATCTTGATCCTGATGATTCGCTTGGATGGATTATCTTTAAACCAAAGGAATGGAAGAAAGTTCTGGTGCTTTGGGTCTACGTGAAACGAGTTGAACATTTGATCAATGTCACACATCATAGCGATATTATCCTGACAAAAGCGGATTAACACTCCAACAAGGCTATTCATAACGTCAGGACCAGGAAGGAGTTCCTTATTGAGCGAGACCCCTTGGAACTCGGCTGACAAATTGAACACCACATGGATCTGATCCGGTTTCCTGGGATGATACACCCCAAAGTGGGGTAAGTACCATACGCATCCCTTATTGCCGACTCCTGCCACCTGCTCCCAGTCCAATTCGGAGCATTTCAGTGGTTCTTCCTTTTGGGGTGTAAGGTGTGAACAGCTCGTCCTCTGGTGCTGGAACTGCATGACCGTACTCGTGGACTTTTCCCATAAACTAGAAGTAATCCTCTTTCATCTTGGGTTTTCTATTGAGGGTGCAAAGCAGGCCGTTAAGGGGGTTGACAGACAAAGGTCACTTGTTATGCATCAAGGTGGGAGGTAAGCCAAACGGCATTGACATTTCCCTGTTTCCCTGTTGGTTCTTGTGAGTTCCCAGCTCCATCATTCTGAGGAAGCGTTTGTCATGTTGCGACATGCTAACCAAATTGTCACCAGGTGTCTATTGAAAGAGGTTGACCCTGATTTCTCCCTGCTCTGCATATCTTTCTTGCACATTTCGGGGATAACTGGTAACCGACTTGTCTAAATGCTCCATTGTTGTGTGGTGTGCTGAGATGTGGGCTGGACCACTGACTCAATTTAAACACATTTGGCTCGAGATGGTCCAGCCCATGTCTAGTT